AGAACTGCAGTCAGCTGAAGTAACCTGCAGTGCTGCATTTAACCACTGCGCCACCTCGGCTCTGTTGTCAAGCTTAGGTTTTTTTATGTTTTACTGCACTCCTGTAAATCGTGCAAATTAGATCTTTTTCCCATAAATTTGATGGAGAAGGATAATTTCAATATTACCTGTAGCCCATAAAAAGCCTCCGACCATAGCAAGAGGCCAAAATCTAGGGCTGTTCTGAATCAGGTTAACAATTAAAGAAACAATCCAGATAGCAGCACAAAGAATCCACTGGAAGAACATTCCTAGAATAAAAGAAAAGAACAAAAATTATAAATTACCAATATAGTTAATACTGATTAAATGTCTGTAAGGTCATGAAATCTTTGCAAATGAAGCTGTAGCAATGAGTAATATAGGAAAAGTAATGTAAGGTGAAGAAATAAAACCATTGAAACAGGAGGTCATTTGATCGCGCTATATATTAAATACTCAAAATTTGTTAAGCTGGCTTCTTGTTTTCTGAAGACCCAAAATATGCTCCCTGCCTAGATACTGCTGAACATAATCAGCATATCCTTTATCTCCAAAAGTCTATAATAAGCAACATACCCTTGAGGATAAATAGCAGGTGCTGAGGAAAGAGAAAGTTTTAGGGGGTCTAGGGGGTCAAGCCAGGAGCACATTTCTAGGTGAAGAACCCATAACAACTTTTCATTCAAAATAAAAGTGGCTGATCTAAGCATGTGTTTAAAAATAATGTGATTAATATAGCATACAACTTAGTCTTTTATTATGGAAAAACTGATATTCAACAAATACCCGTTTCACAAAAGCTTGAAATAGAACTGAATTGAAATAGAAGATATTTTGTTCCTTTACCCTGGGGAACAAAATAACTTCTAGACCAGGCCTGTCAAACTGGTGGCCCGCGGGCCGGATACGTCACACGCAGGCCACGCCACCCTCACTCTGCAAAGGCAAAAAAGTGTCGTGGTATGTCACGATTCAGCCCGTGATGCGATTGAGTTTGACATCCATGTTCTAGACCATTTATCTACTTCCTATGCACTAGGCAACAATATGCAAGAAATATCAACTACTCATTTGGTTGAAATGGCAATTATCACTGTTTCAATCTCTTCTGTAAATTTTTTTTTATTAGATTAGGGCAAATTATGAGGCCATGACAAAACCAGGGTTGATTTAATTTAATTCAAATTAAACACAAACAATAAGAGCTGTTTACTTACAAAGATGCATTTCATAAAGTTTCCTTTCCATGTTAAAATATGATTTTTATAGTATTTTATAGTAACTTTGGACCTGTTAGTGAAATGCTTCAGCCCACCTAGAAGTATCTCTTATCTGCCCTATAAGTATAAGTATAATCTTTATTGTCATTGTACTTAAATACAAC